AAAGTGTATGACATGTTAAGCTAACGTGTACAACATGTTAAGTTAACGTGTTCAACATTTTAAGCTAGCATGTACGACGTTAGGCTAGCATGTACAAAATGTTAAGTTAACATGTACATGTTAACGTATATGACATGTTGAGCTAATGTGTACAACATTAAGCTAACATGTACAACATGTTAAGTTAAAGTATACGACATCTTAAGCTAATGTGTACGACGTTAAGCTAACATGTACAACATGTTGTTAACGTATATGACATATTAAGCTCACGTGTACTACATGTTAAGTTAGCATGTACGACATGTTATGCTAATGTGTACGAGACTTAAGCTAACGTGTATAATATATTGTTAGAAGAGCCAGTTTACATGATATTTATTGTATTTCTAAAGGATTTTGGAAAGACTTGTTTTATACAGCATGCTAACTATATAACTATAAAAAAAAGGTCTTCTAGATTATCTGTCAAATAAATTTTATTTTCCAATTCTCTATGCGACCCTTTGATTGCTTAAACATCTTGATGTGGCCCTTCGGGAAAAAAAATGTTGCTCACAATGTTTCCCCTAAAATGTTAGGCTGTAATTTGGTGTGGTAGTAGCCGAGTTATCCCCAACTCATATTCTGAGCAGTAACCAATTGTGCAACGTATTTGTTTAAGTAATAGCCATTTAAAATTGGGAGTCATGCCTGTTTGTCTGTTAGCAAAAGAACTCATGAGCTGCCAGATGAATTTAATGAAACTTTCAGGAAATAATCAGTGGATATTCATCTACAACTGTTTAACATCTGGAGCCAGTTTAATTCAAGATGGCTGCTGCAGCTAACCTTCATTAGCCAATATTTAAATGGCTCCAGCTCAGTCAATTTAACAAATATTGAGCACATATATGGTGTGGTAGTAGCTGACATCTTGCGATATTGTATAAAATTGTGCACAACGCTGTTTTTGACCAAAACGGCACCAACTTTGTCTTTTCTCAACATAAGATGATCGTAGTGTAAAACTCTGACCTAAAAGGTGATATGCATTCTTTCACATTCAAACAACCAGGTTTAGTGGAGGCAGTTAACCTGCCTGAAGCTAACGTTGTTATTTATTTATTTATTCCAACTTTTGCAGCCGAAGCCATCACCCAAACATGTCTAACGCCCGTTTTAGCCACTAAAATGTGAACTCTGACTCTTCACACTTTGGGTGGACATAATGGACATCAGGGTGTTCTAAGGCAAGAAGTGTCGCTGCTAAAAGCATCAAAATGTGCAGAAGCCACTCAAACACTCTGAACTTGAGCTGTGTGTGGAGATGTAGCAGGCAGGACGTATTCCTGCACCGTCTCAGGGGATCACTGTGCACACGGGTCGCTGTCTGCCGCCTGTTTGCACCGTAAATGTCATTTTATCGCCCATAAAAATCTACGGGCTGGAATGGAATTCAAAGGAAGCGCTCTACCGATGTGCCTTTTACGGCACGTTCTCGGCCGGACGAATAAATTTATCACCTCTCTGCCGACGCTCATGAGGCAGACAATAAAAGCGTCTAAAATAACTGTTTATGATTGAAGTCACAAAGGCTCGACCCCGTCCTTCTGCTCGCAGGTATGATGTCAAAACACTGACGGAGATGAAAACCTTTTAACTGCAGTTCGCTCGAGCGTCGTCAGTCTTGCATTCCATCTGAAGTGCTCGCACGGAAGCAAAATCTCAAATACTGTCTGCGAAAGACGAGAAAAACTCAAATCTTATGATTTATTTCATACAAAAGAAAGAAAAACAAAACTATTAGGAACAAAATTATCAAACTTTCAAATATCTATATACCAGATCATTAAACAGCTGGTGGCCTTAGTTAAAATATTAAAAAAATAATAATGAAAAATTCCAAGTTTGTGCACCTTTTAAAGAATCTGTTCAATTTTGTGTTTATGATGATGATTGGGGCAGTTGTGTCTGAGTGGTTAGAGCAGTCGTCCTCCAATGGGAGAGTTGGGGGTTCAATTCCACCAGCAGTCACATGCTGAAGTGTCCCTGGGCAAGACACTGAACCCCTCATTGCCTCCGATGTGTGTCCCATCAGTGTATGAATGTGATAAAGTGCTGATTATTCTCTACTGATTCAGATTGCTGGTCTAGTAGAGTGCTGTATGAATGTGTATGAAGGTAAATGAGGGCACAGATTGTATTGTTAAGTGCTTTGAGTATCTTCTTCCTCCTTCAGGCTGTAGGTCCCGCTCGTTTCGGAGCAGGGTCAGCCACATGGGCTCTTCTTCTTCATTTTGCTCTGTTTTGTGTATCGTCTGTTGTGAGATGGAGTGTCTTCATATACCACTGATCTGAGAGAACGTGGTGGGACATACGGCTGGAGCAGATCAGTAAGATAGGAGGGGGCAGAGCTGTTTTAGTGATTTATAGACATACAAGAGTATTTTT